CCATGTTCTCACTCTGCTCTTCCCAGGCTGGAATTTTTCTGTGCAACTCTCTTCTGAAATATGTTATCCCAGGTGTGTTACTGTCACTCCTAAGTGGCTCAGCCTTGGCCAGTGGCAGGAACTCCATCCTAGAGCAGCTGGCATTGACTCCATGGGACAGGGGCAGCTTCTGGCAGATTCTGAGAGAAACCACTCCTGTAGCCCCCCTGCTACCTAAACCCAGCCACAGAAACCCACTGTCTTGTGCAGCTCTTTCTCCAAGCCAAGCAGGTGGGAGTTGGTGCCAAGGAGCTGAAACCTGCAGGCCTAGCCTTTAGTGCAGGAAGCTCAGATTGGCCCAAGGCTGCTTTGAGTCCCAGGGGTTTGATGAGGGAATGGTGGGGTAGGGACAGGGATAAAGTCTGATGGATTGTCAGACACAAAGTGTCTTGATTTTCATATCTCTTCAGACTGAATTAGGAGGTGCTTGGGATCAATATTGACTGGGGATTGCTGATATCAATGTAAAAACAGGAAAAAAGTAAACAGACCACAAAAAAGACATCTTTATTCATTGTTTTAATAATACAATATATTCACTTTGATTGCATTCCTGAGATCTGAAGAAAAGAATAGAAGACTTGGAAGGAAATTATTCCCAGGGGCTTGTCTGGTTAAGATGCCATCACTGAGAAGAGAATGTGGAGGAATGAGCAGACAAGGACACCATCCCTGGGGCTGGGGAAGCAGGAACTCAGAGTCACTGGTTCCAGGTGGCAAATGGACTGTGGGATGTTTCTGTGAGAGCCCATAATGGGTGTGCTGCTTTCAGGGGGAGTCCAGATAAATTTCCTCCCCATGGCCAGTGCAGGGCTGTGTTTTAGATTTGTACTGGACACAGGGTTGATAATCACAGAGTCACAGAATATGCTGAGTTGGAAGGGACCCCCAAGGATCATGCAGTCCAACCCTTAGCCCTGCACAGGACCATCCCCAAGGGTCACACCATGAACCTGAGAGGATCATCCAAACACTTCTTGAGCCCTGTCAGCCTTGGTGCTGTGCCCATTGCCCTGGGGAGCCTGTTCAGTGCCCAACCACCCTCTGGGGGAAGAACCTGTTTCCAAGATCCAGCCTACCCCTGCCCTGACACAACTCCAGGTTGTTCCCTCAGTCCTGTCCCTGGTCCCCCCAGAGCAGAGCTCAGGGCCTGCCCCTCCTCTGCCCGTCCCCACGAAGTTGTGACTGCAGTGAGGTCTCCCCTCAGTCTCCTCTTCTCCAGCTGAACACACCAAGTGCCCTCAGTGTCCTCACACACCTTCCCCTCCAGGCCCTTCCCCTTCTTCATTGCCTTCCTTTGGACACTCTCCAATGGCTCAATCTCTCTCTTCCATTGTGCCCCCTAAACTGCCCCAATCTTGCAGGTGAGGCCGCCCCAGGGCAGAGCAGAGTGGGACAATCCCCTCCCTGATGCCCCCAGCACAGGCTTGGCCCTCCTGGCTGCCAGGGCACTGCTGACTCAGGGCCAACTGGCACCCACCAGCACCCCCAGGGCCCTTTCCCGGCACTGCTTCCCAGCCTCTCATTCCCAGTGTGTCCGTCCAGCTGGGGTTGCCCCATCCCAGGGCAGGATCCGGTCCTTCCCCCTGTTGAACTTCCCATGGTTGGTGATTCCCAGCCCTCGGATCTGTCCAGGTCTCTCTGCAGGGCCTTCCTGCCTTCCAGGGGCTCAGCAGCTCCTCCCCGTTTTGGGTCACCTGCAAACTTGCTCAGTGTCCCTTCCAGTGCTGAGTCCAAGTCATTGATGGAGATGTTGGAGAGCACAGGGCCCAAGATGGAGCCCTGTGAAACCCCAGCAGTGACAGGTCACAGTCTGATGTCACCCCTGTCACTGTTACAGGGTCCCTTTGGTTCCATGAGCCCCACATGTCATAATAGCCCCTTTGATTCCATGGGATTCCACAGTGTCCCTGGGTTCCTTTGGCTCCAGGAGGCCCTGGAGTGTCACGGAGTTCCCCGGTTCAATGATATTCCCAGTGTCCCAAGAGAGCCTTGATTCCATAAGTTCTGCGGTGTCCCAGGTTTACTTTTCTACCATGAAAAAACCTTCCTGAAACCATGACATTATCCACCTTTGTAATCTATTCCCTTTTTCATCACGCAGTGTCCCAGGGATCCTTTGGTTCCATGAGGCCCTGCAGTGTCCCAGCAGCCCCTTCATTCCTTTGTGCCACTGGAGACACCCCATAATCCTGCCCTGCCTTGTCCATGGCTACTGAGCCTTCTGAAAAGTTGGAAAGGGGTTCAGCAGCAGTGATCCCCATCCTGCTGGCTCTGCTTCCCAACCTAGGGAGCCACAGCCCCTCCCTCTGCAGAGCAGCCCCTCCAGCTCAGGGCCCTGCAGGGATCCCAGGTTGGGATCTGCAAGTGGCCAAGGCAGCCTGGACACACTGCCCTGGGCAAAGGGATGTGTCTGCAGAATAGCAAGGCAGCATTTCTGTGCCTGCACAGAGAATCCATGGCACAGAGAAAGGTCTTTCTGCAGCCCCCCTGGGGACAGGCTGCTCTGTCCCTGGGCCAGGACTCTGTGCTGGGCTGGGCAGAGGGGCTGGCACTGAGGGGCACAGTCAGGCTGTGCTGGGCATCTCCTGCAGATGACACCAGGGCTCCTGCAGTTCTCCTGAGTTCCATTTGCTGCTGCCATGCTGAGTGTCCAGCCCCTGAGCTGATGGGGATGCTGAGACTCCTCTCTGTGCCCCAGGAGCTGCTGTGCCCTTCAGAGGGGCTGGGGCTGTGGGGGGAGTGCCAACAGAAGGAAAAACTGCCTGGAAAGGGACACAGTTTTAATACTTTTACATTTAAATAATATAGAAGCACATTTTCATTAGTTGGGTCATTTGAGTATTTCTAAGAAATGGCAAAGTTTTCCTACCATGAAAGAACTAGTATTTCCTGGGAGTGTACTGATGGCAGGAGGAGAAATTCTGACCTTCCCCTCTTACCTGTATTACCACTCTTCAGTCTAGAACTTCATCTGCCCTCTCCCTTCAGGTGTTTCCAGCTCTCCTGTTTGAATGGCCATGTCTCAGGACATCCCTTCAGTAGACTTGCTGGATGTGTGTCCTTCCCGTTGCTCCCTGGTTTACTCTTCCACTTTCTCTCTGGTCATTCCATGCCTCTCAATTGACTGGTTTCATGCTTTGAGCATCAGGGAGCTGCCAATCTTACAGAAGTTTAAATGGCACATTAATCCAGACTTAATTGTGTTTATATCTATAATAGAACAACTTTTTGCTATGTCTGTGCCTAAAACTCTTCCTGTATGGAAATCCCTTGTGAATAGGTGACACTTCAGATGCTGCTGGGACATGGCACAGAGCTGAGGGAAGAGTTTGGATGTTTATTAAGATGTATCATCTTTACATTTTTTTTATATTGGCCATGAATAGAAACCTTTCTGTGGCTCTAAGTCTCACCAGTTCCAGACCTCCCAGGAGAACACAAACCTGATGAGTTGTGGTTCCCACTCCAGTGGCTCTTGGAGCTCCCTCTGTACCCAGAGCACAGAGCTCCCTTGTCCCACCAAGTCCTGGGAAATGGAGGGATTCAGGACACAGGACAGGCTGTGGGGACCAGCTGCAGGGCATGGCCAGGGATTTGGGGTGGTTGCAAGACCAGGGCAGGACCCAGCACTTGGCCTTGTTGACCCTCCTCCAAGTGTCCTGGGCCCATCGATGCAGCCTGTCCAGATCCCTCTGCAGAGCCTTCCTGCCCTCCAGCACATCAACACTCCCAACCAGCTTGGTGTCATCTGTGAACTGACTGAGGCTGCCCTGATCCCCCTTGTGCAGATCATTGACAAAGATATTGAACTGCCCTGAGCCCAGTGCTGAGCCCTCCATTCCCCACCACTCCTTGGGCCTGCCCATCCACACAGATGTTTACCCAGTGAACAAATGCTGCAGGATGTGTTTGATAAAGGTCCTATAAGCCCAGAATATTGGGATGAGTGCAGATTTAGCTCTTCATAGCATAGCAGTTCATTCACTTTCTCCCTTTTTCTCCCTCTATGGATCAAGGGAACTTGTGACTTCAGTGTGTGACTCGCTGTGTGCAAAGGGCAAATATGGACAGAATGCGGGGCAGGGAGTGTTTGGGGGATCTTGGGATCTGTGCTTGACACAGAAGGTGTTTCCCATTGGTCTCAGACAATCTACTGGGCAAAGTGGACTTCAGTGGAGTCAGTGTGGACTTAATATACAGCAGAGGATTAAGGGATTTTTTATTGAGCTGTGCCTTCCTCTGGTTTTGTTTGTTGGCAATAAATGAACATCCTTCTGTGTCTCGTGCAGCTCTTTCTCCAAGCGAAGCAGGTGGGAGTTGGTGCCAAGGAGCTGAAACCTGCAGGTCCAGGCTTTGGTGGAGGAAGCTCAAATTGGCCCAAAGCTGCTTTGAGTCCCAGGGGTTGGATGGGGGAATGGTGGGATGTGGATAGGGATAAAGTCTGCTGGATTGTCAGACACAAAAAGTCCTGATTTTCTTATCTATTCAGACTGAATTAGGAGGTGCTTGGGATCAATATCAACTGGGGATTGCTGATATCAATGTAAAACCAGGAAAAAAGTAAACAGGACATCTTTATTTGTGGTTTTATTAATACAATATATTCACTTTGAATACACTTCTGAGATCTGTCTAATTAACCACAGAAGAACTGAAGACTTAGAAGTAAATTATTCCCAGGGGCTTGTCTGGTTAAGATGCCATCACTGAGAAGAGAGTGTGGAGGAATGAGCAGACAAAGTAAACCATCCCTGAGGTAGGATGTTTGACAAAGAAGTTGCTGAAGGAACTTTTATTTTGTTTAAATGCACATAGAGAATGATTCCTCATTTACACAATTGTGGGTCAAAACAAAAAGAGAGAGTATTAATTAGGTATGGAATGAAGAATAAAATTTCTGTGTTACCAACCTTAAAAGAGGAATACAGGAAAACCCCCCATAGCCACTCTCAAAAAATTTAGAAGGCAGGCTGGGCCAGTGAAGGGTTACACAGTGCATGTTCTGCAGAAGAAAAGAACCAGGTTATTGTTCCTGAAAAGCATCCAGTCATCATTTTCTTTATGGCATTCCTGAGCTCCTGGTTCCTCAGACTGTAGATGAGGGGGTTCAGTGCTGGAGGCCCCACCGAGTACAGAACTGACAGGGCCAGATCCAGGGATGGGGAGGAAATGGAGGGGGGCTTCAGATAGATAAATGCTGCAGTGCTGATAAACAGAGAGACCACAGCCAGGTGAGGGAGACACGTCGAAAAGGCTTTGTGCCGTCCCTGCTCAGAGGGGATCCTCAGCACAGCTCTGAAGATCTGAACATAGGAGAAAACAATGAAAATGAAACAACCAAATGCTAAACAGGCACTAACCCCAAGAAGTTTCAGTTCCCTCATGCTGGAGTGTGAGCAGGAGAGCTTGAGGATGTGTGGGATTTCACAGAAGAACTGGCCCAGGGCATTGCCCTGGCACAGGGGCAGGGAAAATGTATTGGCTGTGTGCAGCAGAGAATAGAGAAACCCAGAGGCCCAGGCAGCTGCTGCCATGTGGGCACAAGCTCTGCTGCCCAGGAGGGTCCCGTAGTGCAGGGGTTTGCAGATGGCATCGTAGTGGTCATAGCACATGACGGTCAGGAGGGAAAATTCTGCTGAAATAAAGAAGAAAAAAAAAAGAGCTGTGCAGCACATCCTGTGTAGGAGATGGTTGTGGTGCCCCAGAGGGAGTTGTGCATGGCTTTGGGCACAGTGGTGCAGATGCAGCCCAGGTCTGTGAGGGAGAGGTGCAGCAGGAAGAAGTCCCTGGGGGTGTGCAGGTGCTGGTCGCAGGCTACGGCGCTGAGGATGAGGCCGTTACCCAGGAGGGCAGCCAGGGAGATGCCCAGGAAGAGCCAGAAGTGCAGCAGCTGCAGCTCCCGCCTGTCTGCAGAATGCCAGGAGCAGGAACTGGGCCATGGAGCTGCTGTTGGGCATTTCCTGCCTCAGGGTTTGGTTTTCTGTTGAGGAGAAAAAGGCAGAACTGAATTAGGACAGATTCAAGCAGCAAAACATATTACATGTTTCAGCAATTCAACATTCGGAGCCTCTTTTCAGGAAGAACTCTCTGCATCCCTCTCCCCTGAGCTCTGGGGTTTGCTGCCTGAAAGGGCCATTGGGAGCAGGAACCCTGCAATGGGCTCCTGAGGAATCCTTACTGTGCAGTGAGAGGCAACTTAGAACACAGGGTGACCTCTAATTAAATGTGTTTGGGATGTATCCAAGTATTTCCAGACCTGCAGTTCACAGTTTTCACAAGGAAGAACAGAGGGAAGGGATTTGGTGCTTTATTTTGTTCCAGTTCCTCTTGCCAGGAGTGAGTTTGGATGATTAAATTCTGTGACATTTCTAATGTGCTCCAGGTGAAATCTGGAGAGTGCTGAGAGGCAAGGGGATGGTCTTGGTGCAGAGTCAAGAGCTGGTCATCTTTCCTGTTCACAGCTGCCCCTGGCTGGCAGCTTGGAGCTGAAGGGGGATCACCCTTAGGAAATCCCTTTAAAGGAAACAAGGCACTTCTGGGAGCAGAGGAAACCTGGTTCAAAGAGCAGATAGACAGAATCTTTGCCTTTCCTCAGTATTAGGATTTCATTTTTCTCCTCCCAGACTGAAACACAGAGGGATCATTGCAGCTCCCTATTAGGGCTGCCCAGAGCATTTCCATGGAGTTAGCACTGCAGAGTTTTCTCCACGGGGATCCTGTGCAGCACAGAGATACTATGGCAGAGCTGTGTCCTCCTGGAGGGCACCTGCAGCCCTGCAGGACACCCAGGGAAACAGCTGAAGAGCCTGAAGTTGCCTGGAGGGCAATTGGGCACTTTGTTCCCACACACACATCCCCACAGCAGCACCCAAAGGGTTTGTGCCTGCACAGGAATC